TTTGATTGATATGATTTCCTTCTCCTTAGCGTAGGCTGGACATGCACGGTCGTAGGACATGTGCGGAACCTGGTCCCTGTCGCAGTTGACGCAGTGGGGTTTGTCAGAAGTACATTCTTCGCTCATGTGCTCGAGGGACGCACATTTGCCACACGCCGCGCGGTTCCGACAGTTGGGTTTCGTGTGACCAAATCGCTGGCACTGATAGCACCGCATGGGGTTAGGCAAAAACGGACGGACTTTTACGCGGACGTATCCCACACGTATCTCGGATGGTTTGTCGGGGCGACTGAACGTGAGTATAAGGTTGTTCGTGGGCACTAACTCTCCTCCCCTTCTGACAAAAATCCGTCGAGCGGCGGTCACTCCAAACTCCAAGAGCTCCTCCACGATCTCTTCTTCGTCAACGTCACGCAGGTCAAAACAGTTCACCACGCCCCGGGACGAATTTTTCGTGTTATGTGGTGTCGCCGACATTGACACTGTTTTTTCCCGTTTGCCAGCCCCATCCCGAACACTGTACGAAAATTCAGTTGCTTTCATAGCCCGACTCGCCTCCAAGTCACTAGCAAATTCAACTTCTACTTTTCCATCCCGGAGCTTGTCACATCTTATTTTTCCAAATTTGTCGCACCCATTTCTTCTCTGAAACGGTGACAGGGACGCCAACCTAATCTCGTCACTTCCGAAGACGAGGATCCGTGGTCCGGGGATAACAGGTTCGCCTCTGCACCCTGGAGTTGTCGAGGTCCGCCCCCCTTTCGGAGGACGGGTGTTTTTAAAGGTAGAAGAAGCCATGCAAAAAGGGGGTTTGCATTTCGGCACCGGGGCTCTCCACCCACCACGGAGCCCAACTGGGGGACGGCCCAACACTCCCTAGGGAGGTGGTCACCGCCAGGGCTACCCCGGTGCTATACGGGGCGAACGACGCCTCCCACACAGCCAGGTGTAACCGGGGAGACCCCTCCCCGTCCTGACCGTGGTTCAGCGCCGCCGCCCCTTGACCCCTTAAGCCGCTGCGCGCGGCCAGGCGCCCCAAGCGGAGACCCGCAAGGGGCACCCAACCGCAACGCGAGCGACAAGCCGCTAGGCCCGTGTGGGGCCCCACGGGCCCCCCACGCCCCCGGATATCCTGGCCAAAGTGGAGTGTTGGGGCGCGCCGTGACTGACCCGCACGACGCGCCCCTCAGCCACCAGGATCCGATCAACCAGGGGACGTGGGCGAGGGGGCACGGCGACCCCGATAAAACGAGGATAAGGAGTGGTGATACGGCCGGATGCGGGAGTGCAGGTAATGTGGAGGGAGCGGGCGGGACAGGGAGCAGGAGCTCACGCACCGGCAGGGTCGCTACGCCCTGAGAGGAACAGCTTGCGCTGTCCACCCGTTACCAGAGCTGGGACCCGAGGGGGCGCTAGTCCCCTACACCGACCGAAGCCGGTGCCCCTGCGGGGGCTGGTATGGATAGAGGGGGAGATGGAGCCCGGGAGGGCGTGTCTTCAGCACGGGCTGGGCCGGGGTGCGATGATGGGGGGCGAAGTCCACGACCTCGCTGGACCGTGGTCCATCCCTCGTTCCCGGGTCGCGACCCAGCCCCGGGCTTTCTGGTAGCTCCGCCAGGGGGTTCTATCCCCATAGGCTGAGCTTCTCTAGCGGCGGCCAATGCCGCAGGTGGATTCTTTTCCGGAGGATCCGACCTCCGGTACGACGGAACAGCAGAGCCAGTTGATACAAGTGTGCTTAGTATCAGCTGTACAAACTCGCCTACAGTCATGCCTTTGAAATCATCAAGTCCACTCAGTTTCAGTACCTCGTTGGCTGCGGGTGTTACCTGGACTAAATTTCTTGCCGCATTGGTAAGGGCGTCTTTGTATGTCCCTGTGGTGGTCGCATCGCTGTGTCGGCGTTGGGCCTCCCGAAACGAGACTCCTTCCCTCACTTTGATGTTCAGGACAGCTTTCGCTGACAAGAAGGACTGACAGCTGCGATATGACGCCACGTGACCCTGACCACAGTTGACGCATTTCACGGTTTCTGATTTACACTCAGAGTGTTGGTGACCTATTTCCGCACACCTTCCGCATCTAACTTCTTTCCAGCACTTGTCCGTGAAGTGACCATACGTCTGGCATCGGTAGCATCGGACTGGGTCGGGTACATAGACCCTAACAGGAACCGACTGATATCCCACGCGGACCCTATCTGGAACTCTCGCAGAGCAAAACGTCAGAATAATTGAATCAGTATCGGTCAGCTCTCCTCTCTCTCTCTCTCCTCTTGATACGTCTCACTGCCGTCACCCCTTCCTCACACAAACCCTCAGCAACATCCTCATCACTCACGCCGCGAAGGTCCCGGCAAGTAATCACACCCTTGGAGTAGTTCTTAGAGGGGTGAGGGTGCACCGATACGGGCACCCTAACCTCTCCCTGTCCTCGCACTTTGTACATAAGTGTGGTCGTTTTAAGCATGCGCTGGATTTCGCGGACGTCTGTTAGATGCACTTCTATGCCTCCGTCCGCATACCAAAAGACATCCTTGGGCGTCCCGATCTTGGAAAATGCTTGTTGGCGCTGAAATGGGTTTAGTCGGAGCGGTACTGTCCTTCCTTGGTCATCTACTTTGGCGGATCTTACGACCAGAAACTGGGGTAGTGGACGACGGTCGGGGTTTGGGGGGTTGGTTGATGATAAAGTATCCATAAGTATGTGTTTATATTCGGCGCGCTGATTCCCCGCCCACCACGGAGCCCAACACGGGGACGGTCCACTTCTAAGAGAGGAGCCGCCAGGGCTACCAGCACGCTATACGCAGGCCAGTGTGCCAAAAGAGTTGCTGCGAGATCCACCGGGCACGTGTCTGCGGGCGCCAGTGCCTCGGTTCGCAGGTGCTAACCAGGCACCCTGGTGACAAACCGAGGTACGGCCCCTTAATGATGTCAAGAGGCAGACACTGCACCCGGCAGCTCCCCCCTCAACACCCGTCACATGACCTGCTTGCCTCCAAGCCAGTGTCACGAAAACACGACGCCTGACCAGCCGATTTCCTCGTGGGGAGACTTCACGAGGCATCCGCAGGATCACAAATTCGGGCCAAAGCCACGTGATGGTAAGCTGCCCCGACTGACCCGCAGGGCAACTCCCTCAGTGACCAGGATCCCTTCATCACTACCTGCGGATCCAACGGGGTACGGCGAGACCCATATAAGACTGAGAAGCTGAGGCCGAGGGGTTGCCAATCCCTACTCTGAACGAGTCAGAGCCCTTGCGGAAGGCACGTTTCGTCTGGCCCCTCCTCTTTGGCCGGAAGGGGCGCTTTACAAGCCTCCCCAACCGCCCGCAGGATCATTGGGGCACGCAATCCCCCCCACCACGGAAAGGTAGTGCCTCACGGGGGGCCCCTGCGGGGTCAAAGCCGCTCTATCGCACTTCTTCACAGTGAAGCAAGTCGAACATGCCTGAGCCCCGATCGACCTATATATGTTTCTACAGCTTTGTTCAGAGCCACTGAAGGGGTGATAAAAAAATGTCAGACCTGTGTCGAAAACGACCTGCTGGCACGCGCGGGGCTGTGGAGGAGTCGCCATAGCGTCCACCAAAGCTGACCCAGGTTTCCACTGTTGAGCTGCATCAACAGTGCCTGACCTGCATCCACTCATTTAGTCAGAGGGTACGTGCTTAGGTACGCCTGGCATGCATTGACTGCCAAACCATGTGTCACAAAGCGGCGTACCCAGTTACTTGCTGCTAGAGTCGTGACATCACATTTGGATGATCTCCCTAGGCCGCAGCAGTAAAATGCCCCCGTGATGACGACTGGCGGAAGCTTAAATTAAAAAAATGAAATAGAAAACAAAAAAGCCAATATTACGCCCGCTGTCGTACATGTAAGATAGCAAATCCTTAACGTCCACCAATGAACTGGTACCAAGTGTGCATGCCATGAAATGGAATACCAATTCTCAGGAAGTAGGTGAGGACATAGCTACGGCGAGGTCGGATGACACTTGAGTAGGGACTATCACTGGCACGGACGAGCGAACGCAGCGCAAACAAACAACTACTCCGAGGACTGGGGAAGATATAGCAGTGCAACTACAACGGGTCTAACCGGTTAATTGCATGACCCCTCCCCCTTCAAAAAGCAACAGAGCAGCCAGGAACAAACGCACAGAATGTAGGCCGCCAATGTACGCACAGTACACGCCAAGTTTCCAAAAATACCGGTGATTGACTGTATCCTGCCGATCACACCAGGGATGGGTAGCACACAACTGGCATACATGTTCAGCATAACTGTGTTCAACATAACGTGCATCAGTGCGCAATGGCACATCTCTCACGTAGGAATGAAAAGCTAGGTTGAGACGGTACTCCAGAAACGGCCCTCCATTGTCCACACTGCTATTATTCACACGGGATAACAAAGGGCGTGTCACGCTTCCCAAATTACTGCAGCAACCACAGACCTGCTGGCTGACCCACCGGGGCTCCGGTCTCTCTGATTGGGGCTGGAGACTGGAGGCCTTCAGTATTCCCCGTCCAGTCCCGCGAACAGCATCGCAACAAGTCCCCGTATCTCCCCCCGGCAGGGCTGGAGTGACACACCCGTCACTCCAGTCCATGTGACATTCCGCGTTGCCGCAAAATACACATTGCCAAGCACCCTGACCTCCCAGGGTTCCATCCATGTCTGTGTCCCTGCTGAACTCTCAGCTACACGTGACATCAAGCAGCATGCGCATGGCCCCAAGGCGTCTGTGACCTGCCGTAGGCCGTATCCTTTCTGAGCTCTCATACTCTATCCTGGTCCCGTGCCGTCCATAGGTCACGCATCCTCCGCAGCTCCGCGCCCGGCCCGGGCACCCCGGCACACCCAGCCCTCACTGCTTCTCCAAGTTCTGCTCACACCCGCAACCGTGGGCTGACCAGGCGCCGTGCCCAGCCCTGGTCGCGTCGCTGGGGAGGCTGCGCGCGGCGCGAGGCTGGCGCGGCACCGCCACCCCGTGCACGCGCAGCAGGTGCTGGTACAGCGTGGTCTTGTTGACCAGCCGGCGCTGGCAGAACCGGCAGACGGTCTCGCCGCGGTGCCACGCGCCGTGCTCGCTGAGTCGCGGCCGGTTCGGGAACCAACGGCCGCAGCCCGGCTGCCGGCACAGGTACCCTGCAAAGACATCGGGTCAGGCGCGCCGCGCTCGCTCCCGGCTCGTTCCCTCTCGCGCGGCCGGGTGTGACGGCCCCCGTCGGGGTTGCGCTGCCGCGCCCGGCATGAATGGACGGGTTCGGTCATAGATGGCGCCTCGGAAGCTGGACAGCTACCGGTGGCATTGCCGGCCACCGACCGCGGGTCTCTCCCAGCCGCGACTGTGTGTGTGATACGCTCAGGGTGAGCTCCAAGCGAGGAATCGTCAGCGCGCTGCATACGGCTGCCTGGGCGACGCCGCAAGGGCGACGCGTCGGCTACGACGAGCCACAATCGCCGCCGGGCCGGCCTCGTACCGGAATCGACGCTCGGAGCGGAGCGGCACACACCGCGCCGGCACGTCTCAGACGCAGCCAGGGGAGCTGAGATGGGGGCGGCGGTCGAGAAGTCGGCTCACTGTTTAGCAGAGCACGTGACCGGGTCCGACTGACGCCTGGGCTGCGTTCCCCATTACCAACAGCTGTTCACAAGTTGCAACCTATTACGTCAGAGGTAAGTGCGCCGCAAGATCTCCTACGGCTTGGAAGATGGTCGCTCATGTATGAAGTAGGTACGTGCGACGTCATAGGTAGCACTTCGGCGGTGGTGATTTGGGCTTCGGGGCGCACCGACTACATTGCTCATACGGCGCCCATAACCTACTTTTTATTTAACAGATGCGTGAAAAAACCAGGAGGTAAGACTAGGTCCGATATATGGCATGGAATTGTATGTCTTCAAGATAACTAAAAATGTGGCCGTAATTTACTAAACTCGATGATGATGATGATAATTCGGGGTTTAAGGGCGCATCGACCGCTGAAGGTCATGCAGCGCCCATAACTATCAATTTATGCAGAGGCGTCAATCAGAAAAGTGCATCAACCAGGTCACCCTATAAAGCCTTGGTAATCAGCCTAGCATCACGATGAAAAGATCACTGGGAAATCTATAGCGCGCAGAAACTGGAGCACTTTACCAAACTCGACGGCGTTCGTTGCAGTAAGGTGGCGGCAATTTTGTTGTTCATTGGAGTTTTCAGGCGCGTCGACTGCAGTCGTCATTTTGCAAAGTTCCATTGCGTGTTCGGAGGAAGTGCATTTCCCACAGGCAGGCTTGTTGCGGCAGTACTGCTTGGTATGACCAAATCGCTGGCAGTTGAAACATCGCATGGGGTTCGGGATGAAGAGGCGCACCTTGACACGTGCGTATCCCACACGTATGTCGGACGGTAAGTCAGGGCGACTGAACGTGAGTATGAGGTTGTTGGTGGGCACCAACACTCCTCCCCTTCCGACGAGGATCCGTCGAACGGCGGTCACCCCAAACTCCGAGAGCTCCTCCACGATCTCTCCCTCATCAACGTCACGTAGATCAAAACAGTTCACCACGCCCCTGGACGAATTTTTGGCGTTGTGTGGTGTCGCTGACATCGACACTGTTTTTTCCAGTTTACCGGCCCCATCCCGAACACTGTACGAAAATTCAGTTGCTTGCATAGCCCGATTCGCCTCCAGATCACTAGCAAATTCAACTTCTATTTTTCCATCCCGGAGCTTGCCACATCTTATAATTTTTCCAAATTTGTCGCAGCCATTTCTTCTCTGAAACGGTGAGAGGGACGCCAACCTAACCTCTTCACTGTGGAAGACGAGGATCCGTGGTCCGGGGATAGCAGAGTCTTTTCTGCATCCTTGGGTTATCGTGGTCCGACCCCCTTTCGGAGGACGGGTGTTTTTTGAGGCAGAAGATGCCATGCAGAAAGGGTTTTTCTTTCGGCACCGGGGCTCCCCACCCACCTCGGAGCCCAACTGGGGGACGGCTCAACACTCCCTCGGGAGGTGGTCACCGCCAGGGCTACCCCGGTGCTATACGGGGCGAACGACGCCTCCCACACGGCCAGGTGTAACCGGAGAGACCCCTCCCCGTCCTGACCGTGGTTCAGCGCCGCCGCACCTTGACCCCTTAAGCCGCTGCGCGCGGTCAGGCGCCCAAAGCGGAGACCCGCAAGGAGCACCCAACCGCAACGCGAGCGACAGTCCGCTAGACCCGTGTGGGGCCCCACGGGCCCCCACGCCCCCGGATATCCTGGCCAAAGTGGAGTGTTGGGACGCGCCGTGACTGACCCGCACGACGCGCCCCTCAGCCACCAGGATCCGATCAACCCGGGGACGTGGGCGAGGGGGCACGGCGACCCCGATAAAACGAGGATGAGGAGTGGTGATAGGGCCGGATGCGGGAGTACGGGTAAAGTGGAAGGAGCGGGCGGGACAAGGAGCAGGAGCTCACGTGCAGGCAGGGTCGCCACACCCTGAGAGGAACAGCTTGCGCTGTCCACCCGATACCGGAGCTGGAACCCGAGGGGGCGCTAGTCCCCTACACCGACCGAAGCCGGTGCCCCTGCGGGGTACTACGTACCTCATGGTGGCTATATAGTGACGCCGTGGAATATTAATAATGTTTTATATATGTTCAAGTACGACGGTATTCAGCGGTTTTTATTCGATTAAGAACTACAGTATTCTGTTTTTTGAATATGGCATCACTAAAACATGTGTAGGCAACGATTATACCTGCGTTAGTGACACCTCATAAATTTGTGCCTTGTCTTTCCATACGTCAACTATCACCCTAAACGCCGTTTCGCGGGAGAAGCGTAAGAAATGTTATGATGAAAACAGCCTTATGACCACTGCGCGCTTCAGAAAGACTCAGATCACTTTACTGTTCCTGCAGACACAGGACAGATGCCACGCCGAAGGAGACTGATTGAATAGTTAGAAGACAAAAAGGCTAGACGACCGGTGCGACGACGGCCGGCCGAAGAGCGTAGCGAGCGAGCGAAGGACGGGCGTAGGTCGCCTTAGCAGCTTCCGACAACAGCCAGGTTGGTTTGGTATATGCAAGAAAAGCATTGAGCGTCTGGCTTCCCGGCATCATGAAGTTAGAGTTCTTACGCTTATGGTTACTGGGTCATGCTGTCAGTGCTCTACGATTCAAACTTTACTTATGATTGCAAGCATTCGTGATGTGATAGCTTGTAACCATAAGCACGGCTTGAAACGTCAGGTGTCGACATAATCAATGCTTGCTTGATAACATAATTTACCCAGTGCTTCCTCATGCACTGAAGGTTGGTCAGCATAAGAATTCTGAAGTCAAAACGCCTGTAACTTCAAGCACAAAAGACATAATTTTACAAAGGTCGCACTTCACAGTACCACGGAGAGTGTTTGGGTGGAAACGTTTGACGCCTGATCATGGACTTTCATTACACTTTCAGGCATTCCCAAACGATTTAAGACAACGTTAAAGAAAACGACTAGCATATTCGTATTTGTTGCACAGTTTTTTCGGCGCCGAAAGCAAACACATGAAAACTGTCGACCTATCTGTACTGTATATGCGTCACTAATTATTGATAAATAACAAAACACTAGCCATCATCACGCCAGCCATGGATTGCTGCTATCGTCTCCGATCACCACGCCAAAGACCACCAACAACACACAAAAACAGGGTTTCTTAGGAAAAACCAATCACGGCTCAACATTGGTCCGCCACGAAAGGCTGCGGTCTGACCTCTCCGCAATTTCGGCATCCAATTATTCATAATGCTAGCAACTTTCCTGCACGGCACCTTGCAACGGAAGTCTGGACCCGGATTCACCAACGAATGGCGCTGACGCTCCGGGGATAGTGGATGACACACAGCCACAGTGTGAACGCGAAGCCACGCTATTTGCACCCGCAAGGCGAGCACATCGAAAGTCCTTCATAACGTAGGCAGCAAATGGCCTCCCATCCAGGACGACAAACGCCCAACACTTCCGTAGAAATTGGGGGAGAGGGGATGCAGCAGTTCTTTTTTTACTCACGGCATGTAGCCGACGGCAGAAAGGTACTGCAATTTTGCGCAGCTGAACAATGAAGCTGCATCTCCCCGAATGTGTTGTTAACGCCATCACGCAGAGGCACAGAGGCCCAGCGGGATAAGAATCTGTCACCGGGTCGCCGACCGGCCTCTCAGACCTGTCCAGAGCCGCGCACGCCGGCTCAGGGCCGCCGCACGCCAGCTCAGGGCCGCACGCATCGGCTCAGGTCCGCCGCACGCCGGCTCAGGGGCGCTGCACGCCGGCTCAGAGCCGCTGCACGCCGGCTCTAGGCCGCTGCACGCCGGCTCAGGGTTGCCGCACGCCGACTCAGGGTCGCTGCACGCCGGCTCAGGGCCACGCGCACCGGCTCAGGGCCGCGCGCACCGGCTTAGGGCCGCGCGCAACGACCCAGAGCCGCGCACGCCGGCTCATGACCGCTGCACGCCGGCTCAGGGGCGCTGAACGCCGACTCAGGGGCCCTGAACGCCGGCTCAGGGCCGCTGCACGCCGTGCACCATGCGCATGTGCTGCAGCAGGTCGGGCCGGCGCGAGCTGACCCGGCCGCAGATCGGACACGTGGTGAGGCCGCGATGCACGGCCGCGTGGTGCGACAGCGACGACGCTGCCCGGAACGCCTTGCCGCACAGTGAGCACACGAACGGCCGCGCCGCCGCCGCTGCCGCCGCCGCTGCCGCCGTCATCGAGCCTGCAACAGCCAGCGGGGTTCGGTTGAGGGGCGCCTCGCCTTCCGCGGGCGCGTTGCGCACAAGGTACGGGATGTGTTCTGTTTTGCGTTTGTGACCAGCGCGTGGTTGCCACTGACGTAGTGGATGATGATGATGATGATTTGGGCTTTGGGGCGCACCGACTACGTTGGTCACATGGCGCCCATAACCTACTTTTTATCTAACAGTTGCCTGAAAAAGCGGAGAGATAAGGTTTCGTTCAATATGTGGCATGAAATTGTACGTCATCAAGATAACTAAAGATGTAACCGTCATGTACTGAGCTGGAATCGTCTCCAAACATACCACAGAGCGCTGGACGCAAGGACCCAGATCCAAAATGGCGCATACGTTCCAAGGCGAGGTGGGCACAATCGATCAAGACATGTCGTACGGTGTAACGATCCCCGCAGCGAGGACACCGCGGTTGGTCTTCCCCGCATAAGAGGTATCGGTGAGTTGCATATGTGTGGCCTATTCTCAGGAGGCATAGCGTCACTTCCTCCCGCCTCACCCTACGACAGCTGGACGCCCATGGTCCCAACCGGGGCCTTATCTCCCTCAGTTTATTGGCAGCATGCACATCCCAATGCGCTTGCCACTGCTTCAACATAAAGGCAGATACCACGGCACATAGGTCGTTAGCGGGGACTGTCATCGTAAGGGTGCCAGATGCGTGTGTGGCACGCCTTGCCGCGGCATCAGCCGCTCCATTACCCGATATGCCAACGTGGCTTGGTATCCAGCAGAATACCACCTGCTTCCCGGATCGCGACAGTGTAGTAAGAAGAGTTAAAATGTTCTGAACGATGAAATGTGATGAATCTAAATCTTGGAGTGCCATCAGGCTACTAAGAGAGTCCGATAAAACTAAGTGTTGATCGTCACCGTCAACTTCTATGAAATGGAGTGCTTTATGGCTATTAATGGCTATTAGCTCGGATGTGAAGACCGATGCGTGTCCAGGCAGAGCAAAAGGCCGTGTAACAGGACCTTGGACAAAAGCACATCCAACATCGGCATCCGCTTTCGAACCGTCCGTGTAGGTCTTCATGTGATCCGGGTATGACGCAATCAACTCTAAAGACCTCAGCCGAAACTCATCCGGAGACACCTGCCTCTTCTCGAAATAGGCAAGTGAGACATCTACCGCTGGTGGATAGAGCTTCCAAGGAGGGGTCTCGGGAATTTCCAACGAATCACATGCCATGTGCGAATGCCACACTCCTGCAAAAGTATGAGAGTCCTCACACAGAAAGGTGCGATCTGATGTGCTCTCCCAGTGAGAAACATGCGTATTGTGCGGCGAGAGAAGACCCACTTGTATGTTGGGTGATCGGGGAACTGCGCCAACTTACAGGCGTATCTCATGCCCAGTACCTTTCTCCTAGTAGACAAAGAGGGCTCGTGGGTCTCAACAAGGAGGCTCGCTGTCGGAGAGGTCCTGAATGCACCTGTCGCGATACGTAGGGCTGTATGATGTATCGTGTCCAATGAGCGTTTTACCGACTCACAAACGCCGTCACAAACAAAAGAAGCATAGTCGAGCTTGGATCTGATAAGAGAGCGATAGAAGAGCAAGAGTGTTTTCCTGTCCGCACCATAAGACGTGCGTGCAATGCATCTCAGGACATTCAAAGTTTTAAAACAATTGCTTCGCAACGCCTTTATATGGACTTTGTAAGTAAGGCGGTGATCCAATTGCACACCCAGGAAACGGACCACGGGTTAAAATGGGATCGCTTCGCCATACAGTCGGATCGCTACATCCCGGCAGTGACCACGACAGCGACAAAAGTGCACACCCGTTGTTTTCAACGTGGAGAAACGAAAACCATTCAGCGTGGCCCATCTCTCCAAACATGCTACAGCTAGTTGCAGCTGACGCTCCATCGCTGAGGTCAGAAAAGAGCTGCACCAGATCGCAAGATCGTCGACGAACAGCGAGCGACCAATCGACTGAGGCAATGCATCTCCGACGTCATTGATCATAAGCGCAAAAAGCGCGACGCTTAGAACGCCACCTTGGGGCACACCGCTCCGTTGTATGAAACGATCAGAAAACTGATAACCAACACGGACGCGGAAAAACGTTCCGCTAAGAAGTTCTGTAAGAAATAGCCCATGTTACCATGAATACCGCGCTTAAAAGCTTTCATAAGTATACCATGTCACCATGTGGTATCATAAGCACCCTCTATGTCGAAGAAGACAGCTCCCACATGACGACGCTGATTAAAAGCGGCACGGACAACAGAATCAAAGAAAAGAAGATGGTCCAGCGTGCTACGGTGTTTCCTAAAACCACACTGAGAATCAGTAAGAATGGCATGTTTCTCTAAAAACCATGAAAGACGGCCATTGACAAGTCTCTCCATCAGCTTACACAGTGGAGATGTAAGAGAGATGGGCCTGTAGTGAAGCGGATCTTTGCCGCTCTTACCTGGCTTTAAAAGGGGTACAACAACAGCTTCTCGCCAAAGGTTCGGAAATTCGCCTCGTTCCCAAAGACGATTAAAAATGGCCAAAAGAACGTCCAGTGCGCAGACGGGTAGATGTCGAATCATGTCATTATGTATTTAGTCAGGACCCTCTAATACGCTCCGAAGCCTGCGAACAGTAGCCCTCAGTTCCACCATTGTAAATGGTTCGTTGTAGGCAAGGTGCGCAGATGTGGAAAGTCCACTGGACTGGCCTCACAACGCACCTTATGACGCAGGAATGGGGATAACGCTACCGCCTCCACATCGTTCCGCAAGCGCACGACCGATCTCGTTGGCGACGTCAGCAGGATGTAAAATGTCCTGCCCACCAACCTCAAGAACCGGTAGCGGAACCGCGGAACACTGGCCAGATATACGCTTAATCTGCGACCATACTTGAGACATGGGAGTGAAACGATTTAGGCGTCCCACGTTCTCTTGCCAGGAGACGCGTTTTGCCTCCCGGATAGTGTGCCGGGCCAAAGCTCTCGCCTTCCTAAATGCGATTAAATTATCGGTTGTGGCATGACGGTCGAAGGCCCGAAAAGCCCGCCTACGTGCCCGGATAACAGCTCGGCACTCGTCGGTCCACCACGGCACCGGGGTGCGACGAGGAGCTCCAGATGTCTTTGGGATGCTCGCGTTCGCTGCACGTAAAAGGGCGGACGTGAAATGTTCGATCGAGTAGTTTGCACCATCCACGGCCTGTGCACCAAAGTCCCTCTCTAACTGAGACTGAAACTCACTCCAATCTGCTTTTTTAAGATTCCATCGTCGTGGCCGAGGGCCGAGAACCGCCCCGTCACAGTACTCCAACCACACTGGGAAGTGGCCGGTTCCCATAGGGTCGTCGGCTATAGTCCACGTAAAAAGCTGCGCGAGCTGCGGACTCACCAGGCTTAGGTCCAAAACCGACGTCTGACCTGACGGTAACGTAAAATGCGTTCGAGATCCCGTATTTAAAACACAGAGCGACTCTTCCCGAATAAATCGCTCTAAAAAACGTCCCCGCGCGCTGCTGTTATCACAGCCCCAAACGGTATGGTGTGCGTTAAAATCTCCCAAGATAACCAAAGGCGGCGGGAGCTCTGCCATCAACTGTCTGAGCTGTACCAATGGAAAATTGAGCCCCGGTGGCAAATACACTGAGCACAGGGTTACAAGACGATGATTAAAATGCACGCGTGCAGCAACAGCTTGGAGCGAGGTTTGCAGCCTCAGCTGCTGCGCAGGCACACTGTAGTGCACTGCCAACAGCACACTACCGTGCGCCACAGTATCTGGTAGCACATCTTTTATAAATTTTGTGTAACCTTTGATGGTGCAGTAGGAATCCGGCGACAGCTTCGTCTCCTGGAGGCAGACAGCAACCGGACAGTGGGGGCTTAGCACAGCGTGTAAATCCTGGGCACTGGTTCGTAAGCCTCTACAGTTCCATTGCAGAATAACCTGCATAAAACCTGGTTAGAAAATGAAGTTTAAAACTATGAAGCTAAGAAAAACATGGGCTGCCTAAAAAGGTGGCATAAAACTGTTGACTTAAACTGTAAAAAATGACTAAGCCGACTAGAAGTGTTCGGTTGCACCAGACGAATGGCCCAACTCCCTAAAGTGTACCCGGGGTGCACACCTCCACTTCGGCGCAACCTCCCGTCCGCAGAACTCGAACGACCTTCATTCGAGCCCGACTGAAACTTCAGCCGCGCTCGCGGACTTCCCTCGTCTGTCGGCGAGCCTCTCCAGGGCAATCCGCGCTTAGCGGGGCGGCCCGGGGCGGAAGGAGAATCCAACCGCCTCGGGGACGACGGCGGGGTCGCCGGAGGCGGCAGGGACTGAGCAGGCGCACCGGAAGGCGGAGGCGGCGGCGGGGCGCCCATTCGGGATGGAACAAGCGGCGGCCCAACGCGCTTGCTAGGCGTGGAAGTGCTCCCCCCCCCCCCCCCCCCACAAGGACGACGGCTTCCCACCAGCCACCGCAGAGGATGGCGCACCGCCAGCCACCGCCGGCACCGACGCCCCGGCAAACCCCACGGGAGGAGACTTTTCGCCGTCCCCCGCCGGGGCAGAGGAATCGGTAGCCCCCGAGGACCGCCTGGCCACCCTCGCCTGCTCGACCAGACGCGCTCGCCTGGCCTCGCGGGCCCTCTTCTCCACCTCACCGTGCCGCAAGGCCTCCATCACTGTCTCGCTAGGTGAAGTTCGGTTCGCGGTTGTTGGGGGAGGCGCCGTGGTCGGCGCCTCTTTCCCGGAACGTGTCTGATTTGCTCGGGAGGATCGCCCCTCCCAACCCCGACCAACCAGAGTCCACCCCTCCCCTCCAGTGTCTGTCCGACCGGGGAGGCCGGCGACACGGGGGCCGCCAGCGCAGCTACCGGCGGTGCGGCGGGCGCAGCGGACGCAGACGAAGCATGCGAACCCGCTGCCGTTCTGCAGGTCAACCCAAATGACTGGAGGAGAGCGATGAACTGCGTCAAGTTCATACGGTCCGAGCTGACCTCACGATGAACCACGTTTGAGTGGGAACTAGACACTGTACTCGCGTAAGACACTTTGGGATGCGAGCTATGGTAAATATCTCGTGCCTCTCGGAAATAGATGCGTCGGGAGCACTTGATGGAGATAATCTCTTTCTCTCGGGAGTACGCCGGATAAGCACGGTCAAATGTCGTGTGCGGAATCTGGTTTTTGTGGCAGTTAACACACTTCGGTCGCACGGCGCTGCAGGTCTCGCTAGTGTGGTCAGTCTCCGCACATTTCCCACAAGACGGCTTGTTCCTGCAGTAATCTTTTGTATGGCCAAAACGAAGACACCGAAAACAGCGCATACGGTTGGGAATGTACAAACGAACTTTCACTGTTACGTAACCGACTACTATTTCTGAAGGAAGATCCACACGGTTGAAAGTAAGGATAATGTTGTTTGTTGGGACCAGGTGACTCTCCTCCGCTGACTCTGATCCGACGAGCTTCCACGACATCGAAACCAGACAGACCACCCACGACATCCTCCTCGCTGACACCCTCCAGGTCAAAACAGTTAATGATCCCGCGAGACAAGTTTTTCGTTTTGTGAGCCGTCACCGTGATAGGTAAAGTGACGTCTCGCCTTCCATCTTTATCCCTGACTGTGTATGTGAATGAGGTTGCCTTCATCGTCTTTTCCGCTTCCGCTGCATTCAAAAACTCCACCTCGATCGCTCCATTTCTAAGCTCGTCACAGCGCGTTGCCTTCCCAAGCCGATCACATCCGCTACGCCGCTGAAAGGGCGACAAACTAGACCAATCCTTTTCACTACTGGCAAGCACAAGAACCCGGGAGCAAGACCGAGCAGCCTGCCTGGCAGTCCCCGGTACTCCCACTCTCCCACCTCTAGTCCGCTCCAACGGGGTGGAACGGGAATCAGTCCGTGGCAGCGGTATCTCACCAGTGCCGGAAGGACCGCTTCGCCCCTCCGCCGAAGCAGAGGGACGGTCGTCCATCGTCGTCAGCCGAGCCGTCTGAGCCGAAGTGTCATTTTCGTTGGGGTTGGTTGAGTGAAAATCCATGCGAGCTTTTGAAGCATTCGGCACCGGGGCCCCCCACCCATCACGGAACCCAACTAGGGGACGGTCCAACACTCCCTCGGGAGGTGGTCACCGCCAGGGCTACCCCGGTGCTATACGGGGCGAACGACGCCTCCCACACGGCCAGGTGTAACCGGGGACACCCCTCCCCGTCCTGACCGTGGTTCAGCGCCGCCGCCCTTTAACCCCTTAAGCCGCTGCGCGCGGTCAGGCGCCCCAAGCGGAAGCCCGCAAGGGGCACTCAACCGCAACGCAAGTGACAAGCCGCTAGACCCGTGT